CCTTCAGACCAGGAGGATAGCTTTGCACTTTCTATCATGCCTTAGCAAGTATTCTTAGGGATGAACCTACCCAATAGCCCTGGGAGTGGTTCCTCAATTCGGGTATGCTCAGCTTATAATCCCACACACTGGGGTTACATTGTTGCTTATGGGCCTTTACATGCCCATCACTAGCCTTGCCAAAATTCCATTTTTGGCTTTGTCCAACTTGGGTAGACAGTCCTCTCCTGTCTCCGCAACCTTGGACATTTGGATAGCACCTTCTATCCATCATTCGCTAGGGACTTAGTCCCTTGGGCTTTATCCATTGCCCTCGCGACATCAAACACCACCTTCTGGTGTTCTAGAGTGTTCGGGTGTCCCAATGATGGCTTTCTTGACAATGAGTATTTCCTTTTATGACATTGACTTACTACATCGCAATATAAGCAACTTATCCCCCGTAAGGGTATATCCGACTTCCCTATACTAGAAGTCTTGGGTAGCTACCTTCTACCCGTTTAACCAGTTATTTTGCACCTCTTGCTTAGTTGCCTCATAGTTGTCAAGTCCTACAACTCATTGCTTGGTGCTTTCACACCTCCATCACTATCTGGGTCACCACACTCCAAATGCATGCTCTGCAGCTTAGGCTATGCCATTCCCATTTCCATTGGGATTCCTTTGGCAAGGGGTTCTCATGAACCCACCAACATAGCCTCAAGGTATCACACCTTGGCACATTTGGTGTCTCCACACCATCGGCTCCACGAGCCTACCTCTATGACATTTCCCTTCGTGTCTAAGTCTTTGCCAAGACCAACACCGCTCTTTCTCATGCCAACCATCTGTTAGCACTGCCCCATAAAGGTCACACACAACTTTATGTCAAAGTTGTTTTCTTCTGGGAACACCTTTCCCATAACTTTAGCATGGCACATTTTGCCATCGATGAGATACTCTCTGTTCTCATCCTTGGATCCTATGATCCCCCCCCATCCTTTGTGGGGTACAACGCACCTCAGTCCAAATGCTTCATTCAGTCCTTTTTAGGACCATCCCTTGACTCTACTTGAGTTATCTAGCAGTTTTGGACTTGGTTAATCCACCGACCCGTAAGGTCCTACTTGTGAGGCACTAGCTCACTGGAATACACATCTTGCATTCCGGTCCTACTCAAAAGGACTATTTTCACAAGTGTCACTCCGACACTTGATTTTGTTCACTGGGGGCAACCTTTGCCCCTTAGGACTACTTGTCCATGTGATGAGAATACCAACTCATCCACTTAATACACCCCCAACTCCTTGGGTTGTTCCAGCATTTATTAGAGGTAGCCCCGGCTACCATTTCAAGGACTTGAGTCCTCTTTCGTATTTGACCTTCCACGGTCATTACCTTTGGTCTCACATTCATGAGCACCAACCTCAACTATATGAGGATAATCTTGTGACTCCTTTATTTTTTTGGAGTCTCTATCTTTCCCGTGATCCCAACTTTAGTTGTTTACCACAACAACCTAAGCCAATTTCCTGAGACAAATGCTCATCCGGATCACATCCTCAACTCAATGAGGAAAACCTTGCACTGTTCCCAAGATCCCAAAGTCGTTCCATTATTGGCCCTTTTCTATCCACCACCTCGTCTACAAGTTCACACATGAACTGTAATGGAGAGCCATGTCTTCCAGACTTGCTACTCCTCAAGGATAGGCCCCCTCCTCGGACCTTCCGATGCCAACACTAGTGGTGATATACTTGAGCACCAATAAAAGTCGGACTAAGGAACAGCTCTGATACCAAGTTGTAAGCGACTAATTTTTCCATTCTACTTTAGTCACTTAACCACACCTTCGACCACTTGGAGGAGTTTCACTCACAACCTCCTTAAGTCCAATTCAGGACTTGGGACTTGCTAGCCCCAAGAATGGCATCCATGCCACTCAACGCTTGCACCTGGTCCAAGTGCTCCACTTGTCCGGTCCCAAGACCGACACCCAAAGGTACCACTGACATCTCGGCCCGTTACGCTAAGGCCATGCCCCTTCACCTTTGCTGCACTAGTGGTCCAATACCACTTGCATCACCATCCCGTCTCTCCAAGACTGGGCCATCTGTCCACGAGTGGTCATCCTAGATCCACTCCTTAGCATCCTTAGGATGCCCACAGACCGGGGGAATTGCCTTCCCCAAAGTCCCTTTGTTAGTTCCTACCAAGACCCTTTCTGCCCCTGGCCGTGTTTGCCAACACTGCCACTGGATCGAGGCCCACAGGCCCGACCACTAAGTCCCACGGTCCTCTGGGACTTCCTCACCACACGACTGTATCCTTGGTCACTACCCCAGAGGACTGCTCCTCTTCCTTTCCACAATCTAGGCCTTTGGGACAACATTTCGGAACACCGTGGCCTTACGCGAGCCACCTGGGTACTCTCCCCGCCTTTCGCCTTTAGGTGCTCTAGCCATGGGCTTAGAGCGAGGTTCCGTTGAGCCACGCCTGGTATCCAAGTAGGTAGTGCCATTCACACTTGGACTGGGAGCATCGGCCAGTCGATCTCCCGGGGGAACTAGAGCCGGCTCTTGAACACTTCACCAAGCTACCCCGCTTGTCGGTCCGTGTTCACTCTAGTCTTGGACTTCCCAGTGGGCAGCTCATCACCCAACACTGGGTCCGGCCTTCCTGGGCCAAACTGGCCTTTCCTGGCCAAACTGGCTCCACTGCAGTCCTCCCCCTACTATACTTTTGGAGCTCACCAAACCCCCCAGGGTCTGGGAGACGAACGCTTTGGGCTTTCACCCTCTCAGGCTCCGGACTCGGACTCGGACTCGGACTCGGACTCGGACTCGGACTCAGACTTGGACTCGGGTTCGGACTCGGACTCGGGCTCAGGCTCGGTCTCGGCCTCGGCCTCGGTCTCGGTCTCGGCCTCGGTCTCGGTCTCGGTCCCGATCTCGGTCTCGGTCTCGGTCTCGGTCCCGGTCTCGGTCTCGACTTCGGACTCCATCTCGGACTCCACCTCGGACTCCATCTCGGACTCCATCTCGGACTCCATCTCGGGTCCATCTCGGGTCCATCTCGGACTCCATCTCGGACTCCATCTCGGGTCCATCTCGGACTCCATCTCGGACTCCATTTTGGGTCCATCTCGGGTCCACCTCGGACTCCATCTCGGACTCCATCTCGGACTCCATCTCGGGTCCATCTCGGACTCCACTTCGGACTCCAGCTCGGGTCCATCTCGGGTCCACCTCGGACTCCATCTCGGACTCCACTTCGGACTCCAACTCGGGTCCATCTCGGGTCCACCTCGGACTCCACTTCGGACTCCATCTCGGACTCCACTTCGGACTCCAACTCGGGTCCATCTCGGGTCCACCTCGGACTCCACTTCGGACTCCATCTCGGACACTCCCACGTGTCATGTGTTGGTCCTTTTGGGTCCCTTTTTGGAGCCTCGCCTTTTGCTCGCTTCGTGCTCGTTCCTCGAGCACTTCGTTGGGAGTTCCACTCCCGCTCTTGACTTCTCAAGTCGGAGCTTTTGGTCCAAACGTGTTACGCTCGTTTGGCTCTCGCTTCGGCCACTACCATGTGGCGCCCTTCCGGCTCCACTTTGGGGCCTAGGGATTTTGTGTCTCACACTAACGTTCTTCTAAATCTCGGCCCGTCTACAAGAGAACCTTGATGGTCTTCCATTATTCCAAAAGGAGGGGATGATGTGAGGGTTAAGTGTACGGCTATGATGCTATAAACTAATATTAATGTAGTGGGATTTTGGTAGCTGTCAGATTGGTTTCAATCCGGACCACTCACTCTTGTATATAAGAGTGAGTGGTTTCACTCACTTTTGGGCTAATTAATATGCACATTCTCTGTATTCCCTTTCCATATTCCAAGCACTCACACTATAATTTAATAGAGTCTCTATAATACTATACTCATGAATGAAAAGTGGTAAGTTGTGTTCATTTGGTGTTGTAGTGTCTTCTCTTGGGATTCACCTTGAATCTAAGCTCACTATACTACTTGATGAGCTCCTCCACACCCGCCACCTGAAAGTTTGAAGAGATCCACGCACGCATTCCCCGGCCAAGCAAAAAGCTTGTTGAAGCCAGCACATGCCACAATCATCTTTCCCACTTCCACATTCTCAACAAGTTCATCATACTTCTCCTGATCAAAAGGACCACACTTTTCATTGAAAACAACATCAGACGTGCTCAGGTTATTGTCCACCAGCAATTCATACTCGCAACACCTAAAACTGAAAAACACCTCCCACTCGTGCACCAGCACCCGCGCATCAAACACCAGCCGCACCTACATGTCCAGCAACCCAACACCACCAAACAGGTAGAAACCAGCTCTTGCCGAAACTTTCGCAATCCCAGGATCTCACGCCCTCAGATCTCACAGGGTATGCTGGGCTTGGCCCTGATGTACTTGATTAGAGGCGGACTAAGCAACGGCATCTCCTGCTGCTGCTGCTGCTGGAGCTCTTCCTGGACTGCCTCTATCGATATCGGCCTCCTCTTGTAGCTGTCGACACAAAGGCGAATGTTGGTGTACGTGAGGTCCTCGTCCCAAATACCTTCGTAGCACAACTTGTCGTCGCTTAGGTACGACAGCCTCTCGTGGACAATGGTTCACTCACATTGGCCTGCTTGCAGGCATTGCTCCACACCCACTGGATCCTATGTTCTAACCTGCACAGAGGGAAGTCCGCAACGCTGTAGAAGCCCACATACTGCCAGTGCCTGTGACCCAGATTGTCCAGTACTAGACCCAAAATTGCAGACTCATCCAACTTTCTCCTGAGCTGTGCCGCCAAGTTTAGTTACAAAGATTAGTCGTTTTGATTAAGTATGGGTTCTCTTTTTCTTTTTTTCGTTGTTTTTTTTTCCTTAGTGTTATTTAAATTAAAGAGCCTTGGGTAAAAAGATTAATCTTACTAATTAACTTACAAAGCCCTAAGTAGAAAAGCTCAAACATTCTTAGAGAGCTTTTAATTTAGATTTTTTTTAATTATGTGTATATAGAAACGAAAAGGAAAGCTTTAGAATTTCCGCAAACCGACAAGTCACGCTCTTGGCCATTTCAACGATTTAAATGTGTGGTTGTGAGACCGGAAGGCCCACCCACCTAGCACGGAAAGAATGGGCGAGGAGGAGCGCAAGAGCTCCGGCAAGCAAATTGGAGGCTTTGTGTTTGCAGAGGATGGATCTTACGTGCGCGCTCCTCCACCAACAGGTCCTGCGGGGTTCTTTGCGGAGGTTCCAGCCAATCCCGCGTTCATTGACGGCGTGGCGAGCCGCGACGTGACTCTCGACAAGGATCGGGGACTTTGGGTGAGAGTTTTCCGTCCGGAAGAGCTGGGAAATCGCACGCTGCCCATCGTCATCTTCTACCACGGGGGAGGATTCATCTACATGAGCGCCGCGAATGCGATCTTTCACAGATTTTGCGAGGCCCTGTCCAGGAAGCTGGGAGCGATCGTGGTGTCTGTGAATTACCGCCTAGCTCCGGAGCACAGGCTCCCGGCGGCCTACGACGATGGCTACGACGCCCTCAACTGGGTCCGAGAGATCGCCAAGAGCAGTAGCGATCAAGACGCTTTCGCTCACGCGGATTTCTCGAAGATCTTCGTCATGGGCGACAGCGCCGGGGGAAATCTCGCAGCCCGCGTGGCATTGCGCGCTGCCCAGGATGGAATCCCGCTCGCCGGCCAGATCCTCCTCCAGCCCTTCTATGGAGGCACGTCCAGGACCGAGTCGGAGCTCAAGCTCGGGTCCTCCAATCCGATGATCACGCTCGACTCCAGCGATTTTTGCTGGCTGGCGACGCTCCCCGAGGGCGCGGCCGACCGCGATCATCCATTTTGCAACCCGATGGTGGAATTGCCGGGAGATCTCGAGAGATTGGGGGCCGGGGGACTGCCGAGAGCGCTGGTGGTGGTGGGCGGCAAGGATCTCCTCCACGATCGCCAGGTAGAGTTTGCAAAGATCTTGGAAGACGCTGGCAATGCCGTGAAGCTCATCGAGTATGAAAACGCTTCCCATGGATTCTACGCCGCGGGGGACGATAGCTGCCAGGAATACGTCCTTGTCTTGGACGAAATCGCTAGCTTCTTGCGAGAGTGACCCCTGGCTGACGGCTGTGAACCCGCGTTGAATAAAGTGGACTCTGTTGACTTACGGGTTCACTGGCGGTCAGAGCTCAGGGTACACAAGCTTTGGCAGCCATTCACGAGGATGGCATTTCTTCCTTTTGTCTTTGCGGTGTCATCAGGCAGCAATTTCTCATTCCACTGCGCATTCCCTTCCAACCAGCAGTGCTTGATTGGATGCAAAAGAACAATGGTTGTAGTGATCGATGTTCATCAAAGTTTATGAATCCAAACAACTTGCTAGATGTTTTTGAGTGTGCACAGCATGCCCAAGGGGAAACTGGGCTCAAAGAAGCTTCCACTCAAGATTTGCCTCGTGATGATCTGGCTTGCTGCTTCGTTGTAGTGAACTCCATCCCAATTGAGATAGGCGGATAGGATTCTTACAAGTCGTTGATGCCACCGTCTTCCCAGCCATCACTTTGCTCTGCCTGCATTGCACCTCAAAGTTGTAGTTGTAGTTCCCTCCAATCCCACAGCAGGCCTTTGTTGGCAGAATCCTTTGAAGTCAACGATGGTCAGAAACACGCCTATGTTCTTGCTTGAGGGTGAGGGAGTATTTTATGTCGTAAGTGTTGATGTAGATTATAGTGCTGCCTGGGAGCTGGCTACAAGGTTGCTCAATGCTTGAACAATCAAGACTAGCAAAACAGAATGACATCTCATCTCATTTCATTGTAGGGCTGCGTGACTTCGTTGAATTCGATGGGCTTGATCGTAGCTCACTTGGAGAAGTCTTTCCCCCTGCGTTGAGAGAGTTCCCTGGGACACCACGATTGATCGAGCGAGAGCAAAAATCACCGCAATATAGCTATCAATCTTGGAGAACGGAATGTGGCGAAACTGATTTGACAGAGATGTGGCCGTGGACGGGTGATGTGTCACCGCCGGTCACGGGCTCGAATCCGTCACCGCAGCAGCAGCAGCAAACTTGGTGGAGTGACGAAGATTGTGTGACATGGATTACTCATGTATTTGCAGATGTCCAGAACGGGAATTTGTAAATGTGATGAAAAACATGAGAACGACCGGTTTCAAACCCATTTGGGTTTGGAATTGTGTGCTGCAGACACTGGTTATGCATAGCCATACTGAGTACGCATGGGAATTTTTTCTGGCAATGAAAAAAAAAAGATCAAACAACATGGAACACAATCGTGACTACATTTTCCCAGGAAGGGCATTTCTACAAAGTTGCACAAGTTCAAGACAAAATGCCTGAGCTGAGGGGGGCATTTGCTCCATATCAATTCTGGACCAATTGTAAACTCGGGACATGTGCTCTATGCTTCTACAGCATTCTAGAGTGGGGAGCTAAGCGCATACTTAAAGCTGTACAGCAAGATCTTGTTACGATGTATGGAGTTTCTTATCCAAATGTGGTGGCCCTTGCTTCCCAACACCCCAACTGGTCACTTGAAGAATACTTTGCGAAAACCGGAATGCAAGATGTTAAAGGAGTTCACGAGATTCTCATCAATAGAAATTCTCCAGCAAACCAAGAGGAAGCCACAAAGGTTTTGGAGTTTCTCTATGGCCATTGGTCCACTGCAATTTGTGGGGAGAACCTAATCATGTTGAAAAGCCTACGATTCTACAGACTCTTGTTTGCTCATTGTGTGGAAGCTTTGGAAGGCACAAGTTCTTTTTTTTATAACATTAAACCAAAGCGCTAGGGCGGGAAAAGATGCACTTAAAGAGATTGAGCACTGGGAATCCCATGGTAAACTTCCAGACGAAGTTCGGGGATTGGCGGAGCCCTATTGCAAGATCTGTCTAGTGAACTTTTGCAGCTTCGCAGAAATGCCCTACCTGGGCAAATGCAGTCATGATTGTGTTCCATGTTGTTTGATCTCTTTTTTCATTGCCAGAAATAGCTCCCATGCGTACTTAGTATGGCTATGCATAACCAGTGTCTGCAGCACACAATTCCAAACCCAAATGGGTTTGAAACCGGTCGTTCTCATGTTTTTCATCACATTTTGCAGATTCCCGTTGTGGACATCTGCAAATACATGAGTAATCCATGTCACACAATCTTGGTCGCTCCACCAAGTTTGCTGCTGCTGCTGCGGTGACGATGGTGGGAGAGGAAGAGGAGGAAGAAACCTGTTGCTATGATCTCGTCCGCAATCCAAGCTCCGACACCGACATGGAGGAGACGGTGGGCTAGATCTGAGCGGCATAGGGGGGCTTCCTCGTCTAGCAAAGCATCTCCGGTCACGCAAGAAAGCTCCTGCCCCCTGCTGCATCAGATAGGATGGGAGTTGGCCTTGCCGAGAGAGACGGAGCTCGTCCAAGCTTGAGTAGTGCAGTGTGGAAGCATGCTTAGCGCCCATCTGGCCTTTGCATTGCTGAGAGCCCGCAACTTGCCAACCTGAGAAGCGCACTCTGGAGGGCGGAGCAAGAGAGATCTTGACGGGATGAGAGATCCGGCAACGTGGAACGCTCTTGCGGAAAATCAGACGCAGCATGGCATGAGCCCAGAAAAACTTGCAGATCTTCTCGACGAGCAAATGCCTCGAGTGCGTCGACTTGGCAAAGTAGGCGTTTTAGCAAAGGCGACAATGGGTTTCTCACTGACAAAGAGGGGCTTTTTTCGTGGTAACAAACCAACCTCAACCACGCGGTGACGATCGCATCACCAGCAAACGTTCTGCTGGTCTTTGCAGGATCAACATGTCCACCGTGTCGAGAAGGCTTCACGAAAGTTTCTTCGATCGACTACTTCATAGTGAGTGCTCACTCGCCTCCCCAGGTTTCTTCTCGCAGCTTCTCTCTGGCCAGCAACCGCTGCTTGCGTCTCCTGGACCGTGAATCTCACCTTGTTCTGTGCTCTGTCACGACGATCATATGCGTTGAGTCTGTACGAAGAGTGGCCGATGAGAAAAAGGCTTGAAACCAGAGAAAGAAAACTGGATACCTCTCTGCCGTGAACTTCGCTTGAATCAAGATGGGCGATGGATGGTTGCGAGTGCCCCTCGCGCTGCGCAAAAAATGACTAGCGTCAGTGAAGATGTTTGCTTTGTCTAGCCAAACCGATCGTTGGATTGCCATAAACAGCCAAGGCAGTGGTACTATCATGAATCACCACGCCACGGCTCGCGCGGATTCAATCAAAAGAATGCTAAGAACTTCCAAAATTTGGTCATCCAAAGAGAGACGAACTTACCGGACTTTCCATCGATGTCGTCAGAAGACGTAGTGAGCTTTTCGTGAGTTTCATCGTCCGTGGCGGTCGTATGGTCGCTGTGGAATCCATCTCTCTCTTCCGTGAGTAAATGCCCCGCGTCCACGCTGCTTGGGAGCTACGTCCTCAGCCTCCTCCTCTGCGGCTTCTCTCGCGTTTTCTCTGGAGTTGGAGCAACGCTTGGGAGTTGGATTGCACAAAGAAACTTGGGAGAATCGAGGAGGGAGCTGTGGTGGCTTTGATGAACTCCCAGGGATGTCGTGAGCGGCTTTCTCCCGCAAAGCAAACTTTCAAAGCTCCGCTATCCTTCCTCTTCGTCGCCTTCCTTTTCTATGGAGCATTGCTTCTTCTGCAAAGAAATTCCTGAGAACACTCATGCTACGTACGCGTTTAATCTGTGCCGGATGACAATGGCGGAGCTGCGCAGCGAACCGGCCTTAGCCCTGCCGCTCGTACAGCGGCCCGATTCGCGACCCGATTCGATTCGCTCTGCATCTCGTCCACAACGCCCTGCTCCTGAGATTTTAGGGTTCTTGAGAGAAGCGCCAAAAAAACATCTCAATGACGCCAAGCGATGGCAGCTCGATTCGATGCCTTCCAAGCGCTCCAAAGCGCAGTGGCGAGATTGACGCGGTGATGTGGGGGTAGAGCATCGTCTCCGCCGATTCCAGATGCCCATTCCGGGCGTAGGCCGCGAGCATCGCGTTTGAGCAGGAAAATCTAGAAACCCGGGGAGCTGGAATTGGATCATCGGTAGCTGCTGCTGCTGCTTGCGATGGCGCTGCTGGGGGGAGCCTTAAGAGCCCTAAACCTCAAGAAAGTGATGGTTACAAGGAAGGCGATTCGAACCGCGACGCGTTTGGAATTTTCGGGAGTGGGCCGGATTCGAGCCCGCGACTAGAGGTGACACGTCCATTCCATTCCGATATTGTAGTGATTTTTGCTCTTGCTCGATCAATCGTGATGTCCCAGGGAACTCTCTCAACCCAGGGGGAACGACTTCAGCTATGAACAGCTAAAGGCATACATTTTCCGGGCGGTGACTCTTTACTCTTTTGTGACAATGGCTTGCTCAAACAGGCTTTGAGCAGCCTCCGCAGCCTGCTCCCAAGCTACATCAACACTTACGACATCAAATATTCGCTCACACTCAAGGCTGCGAGCAATGGTAACACCACAAGAACATAGTCAGTCAACGTGTCTCTGACCAAAGTTGACTTTACAGGATTCCAGTTTGCCGCCAAGGCCTGCCTGTGGGATTGGAGGGAACTACAACTACAACTTTGAGGGGTGCAATGCAGACAGAGAAAAGTGATGGCTGGGAAGATGGTGGCGTCAACGACTTGTAGGAATCCATCTGCATATATCAATTGGGATGGAGTTTACTACACTGATGCAGCAAACTGGATCATCACGAGGCAAATCTTGAGTGGGAGCTCCTTTGAGCCCAATTTCCCCTTGGGCATGCTGTGCACACTCAAGAACATCTAATCATCTGTTTGGACTCATAAACTTTGACAAACATCAATCACTACAAGCATTGTTCTTTTGGATCCAATCCAGCACCCATCAAGCACTATTGGTTGGAAGGGACATTGAGCCAGTGTGCCATCTTTAGAGCACGTGGAATAACATGTGGTGATATAAGTTACTACAAAAAAAAAATAACTCAAAAACATTCAACTTTAGCCGAAATATGAATTGGCAACACTACATTTACTACCATGACACCAAGCTCGAAATATGTCACATGACTCTTACCTTGAAAACAGGGGTCACTCTCACAAGAAACTAGAGATTTCATCCAAGACAAGGACAGATTCCTGGTAGCTAGCATCCCCAACGGTGTAAAAGCCATGGGAAGCGTTTTCATACTCAATGAGCTTCACGGCATTGCCAGTGTCTTCGAAGATCTTTGCAAACTCTACCTAGAGATTGTGGAGGAGATCCTTGCCGCCCACCACCACTAGCGCTCTTGGCAGTTTCCCCTGGGCCCCCAATCTCATGAGATCTCCAGGCAATTCCAGCGTCATGTTGCAATATGGATGATCATGGTCAACTGCTCCCTCAGGGAGCGCTGCCAACCAGCAAAAATCTGTGATGCCTAGCGTGATCATCGGGTTGGAGGACCCGAGCCTAAGCTCCGACTCAGTCCTGGACCTGCCTCCATAAAAGGGCTGGCCAGTGAGGAGGATCTGGCCGGTGAGCGGGATTTCATCTTGGGTAGTGCGCAATGCCACACGGGCTGCAAGATTTCCCCCGGCACTGTCGCCCATGATCTTGGAAAATAATCGATTGTAAAACATCAAATTTAGAAACAAAGTGTGACTTAATAACCCACAAACTACCAATCAATTGACACTCAAGATAATATCATAATTTGGTTAACCATCACTTATAATATAAACTTCCCAAGTTGTAGAGTCAAATATACTGGGCTAAAGACTTTTGATCAACAAAAAGAATATGTAAAGGACAAACTACTAAACATTGAACTAAAAAGATTTTAGAGCTAAAATTTAATCTCTTTGGTGTCATAAATAGCTCTAGAGAAATTCCATACCATAAATTATAAAAGAGAATGAGAGAGAAATAACAAGACACTTCCTATTATCCATTAATAATACTACACTTCTTGTTCTTGTTATTTGTGCACATTATAGGAGCCATGATGTGTATAGACCCTTTGAAACTTTGGATACATCCAATAGTTTTCTGAATGGTTGACATGAAGTATTTTAGCATCATTATTGTCATCTTGAGATACAAATGGTTAACAACAATTCTTACACTCCACTATAATACATCCTCAAACCTAGTAGTCATAACATTATGGGCCACATCCACACTTACAGCCTCCTTCTTGACCACATCCACACCCATAGTCACAACCCCCATGATTGCCATAATGACCAACATCTCAAGGTTTTACAATTGAGGTGGAATCAACATCTATAAGGGCCATACAATCAACTAAGGGAGGATAAGAGTGTTATAGAATGAAAAGGTATAATATGAGAGCTTTCCTCCACATTATAAGAAATTATAATGGCATCATGAAGGGTGGTAGGGTGATGTCCTCTCACAAAAGCTCCAATAGAACTGCAAACATGATATTTTAATAAGATTTGAACATGTTAAAATCTATAGAAGTTAGTTGTAAGCCATAAATTTTCCTTTTGTAATTTGCTAATTTACTTTATATATCTAAACACTTTTGCTTTAGTTATAGTTAAATTCTCTTGCCAAAGTCCACTTTAACTGTAATAAGTTTTATTTGGCTTCAACTACTCATTGTATAAGTACTAAAGTGTTAATAATTTCGTTAATAATTTCCTAAACATTTTATCCCAACCTTTTCCTTGGGATAGATTATACTTAAAGTTTGATTACACTCCATATAAACATAAGTAACTAAGTATATCAAGCCTCTAAATTTTTAATGTCCCTTAAAATAACAAGACTTATTCATGGGACTCTTTAAATCCCAAACTTTGTAAATCTCTTAATTCGATGCTTTGAGGGAAAACACTATAGCCTAAAGTCTTAATATAAGTACTTTAACTCCCCACCTCTAACTTGAAAGGAAAATACATGGCAATTAAAGAGGAGTGAGGACTAATAGTACTCAAATAATGCATTACTCCACCTAAGTTATAAATACTATTGTCAATTTTCTTTTCAAAAGTGGGAGTTTCTTTTAAGAATTTCTTTAAAAACATTCCTCAAATCCATACTCCCAAGTCATAACCCTAATATAGTAATTCCTTCAAGATTAAGTTTTAACTTTTATCATTTTGGAACCCTTACATCCAAGTTTAGTCCTAACTCAATCCAAACTCTTTATTGATTTCAAGATCTTTTAACCAACAATATTTTGGAGAGTTTGTTTCTTATACTAATAATTTCTTAACTCACTCTTCAAATCAATTCACCATCACACCACACTATTGCTTAACTTTAACACACCATTTATAAAGCCAACTTTATCTCCATAGCACCCAAAAGTTTATTAAAAACCATGCAAGACATAAAAGTAGTGTTAAGATCTGTGTTACATCTCTTTGTAAACAAAGAGGCAATTTTTGAATATTATCCATATCATTCCATCCATAATATGTGGATCCTAAAATGTTTAAACCATAAGCAAACATCTTATATGAGTAATCTAGAAAATAACATTGAACCCAATCAAGGGGGACACTTGGCTCATAATTAAGTGTTACAATAACTACTACATCCTTGTTTAATTTTGAGCCGGCTATGCCAACACTAAAACTAATTGTTGTATAAGCCTATTAGGAGCCTAATCCTTACCACCACACTTCCAGGCAAAAAAAATCAAGTGCAAACACCAAAACTAATTGTTGTATAAACCCATTAGGAGCTTAATCCTCACCACCACCCCCCATGCAAAAAAAAGCAAGAAAAAAACCACATTGTCAACAAAAATATATTTAGCATCTCTATCAAATTGAGGACTTTAAAAAGTGGATTATTATGCTAATGTGACTACTAAAATTAGATTAGTATATATATATTATACAAAGTCCTCACAAACCTTATCTATAATTTTAAGGAGAGATCAAATGAAGGGTAATTGTCAAAAGGTTATTTTTTTAACCACAAATAATCACACTGATTGATGTTTGCTATTAGCCAATGGGAGGTGGGCAATTGCCTAGGGCGAGAGAAGAAGGTATTGTGACATATATAGATTGCTGAAAAAAGCATTGTGACAAATGTATATGCTTGATGACATGGAAAAAAAAATAGAGCATAAAGCTATCATAAGGCTGTGATTAACTTTTACCTAATTTAAAATTTTTATGTGATGGGCAAAGGCAACTAGTGACTCTAATTTGGGGTCTCAAGACCATGTGGAATATAGTTATCAATCATTGTCAAACAATGTCTCTTCATAATAGCAAGCTCAACAAATTCTAGAACAAGATTAATGTAAATTTTAAAATATTAAGAAAATTACAGAGAGCATGGTGGCCAATGAAAACTTGAACTATGGCATGTGGAGAAAGAGGAAAATGTGACATCTGGGCATCACAAGTATGCTTTTTAATCATCATACTCTGAAGATCTGGAAAACCGGGATGAGAGACATAAGTAATTGAAAGGGCTTGATCGATTTGGTTCGCAAGCTATTTGCACTATGGAATATTTATGTTCCTTTTAAACATTTTTGCTCACAAATGGGAACAATAGATAGATCACTGGATTTGGCAGCAATAGAACATTCAAATGGCAACTTTAGCGTGGACTTGGATGGAAATTACATAGATTTCTTAGGCATAATTTTCCTTCTTTTGGCTCTTACTTGCTTTTGGGTATATTACTTAATATTTGATTTTGTTTTTCTTTTCATTTTTTTAGCTTTATTTTGAGTGCCACACTAGATAAGCAGTAAAAGGTAACAGTTTCCAGATTTTCCTTTTTCTTCTCTTAGCTGATTTCTTACATTTCCTTTTAGGTTTAGAGGTTAAACAGCCTTGGTTACTTTCATTGCTTGGGGTATCACATAACACATTTGCTAACTGCCCAGCATTTGCTGGGGGAATACTAGGTTTTATATAGGAACGGCTTATTTAATCAAATTAAAAGCTATGATTAATCCTTTTGAGCTAAACTCACAAAGCATCGTGCCCTAGGATATGGCGGCACAACTCAGGAGAAAGCTCTGGGATGAGTCTGTGATTTTGGGTCAAGTTTTCGACAATCTGGGTCACAGGCAGTGGCAGTACTCGGCCTTCTACGGCGTTGTGGACTTCGCTCTGTGCAGGTTAGAACACAGGATCCAGCGGGTGTGGAAGAATGCCTGCAAGCAGGCGAATGTGAAGGAATACGCCGCCACCAAGGCCATTGTCCGGGAGAGGGCGTCGTACCTAAGCGACGACCAGTTGTGCTACTACGGTATTTGGGACGAGGACCTCACTTACACCAACGTTCGCCTTTGCGTCGACAGCTACAAGAGGAGGCCGACATCGATAGAGGCAGTCCAGGAAGAGCTCCAGCAGCAGCAGCAGCAGCAGCAGGAGATGCCGTTGCTTAGCCCGCCTCTGATCAAGTACATCAGGGCCAAGCCCAGCATACCCCGTGAGATCCGAGGGCGTGGCCCGGGATCGCGAAAGTTTCGGCAAGAGCTGGTTTCTTGGGTGGAGCGGGACCTGTTCGGTGGTGTTGGGTCGCTGGAGATGCAGGCGCGGCTGGTGTTTGATGCGCGGGTGCTGGCGCACGAGTGGGAGGAGTTGTTCGGTTTCAGGTGCTGCGAGTATGAGCCGCTGGTGGACAAGAACCTGAGCACGCCTGATGTTGTTTTCAATGAAAATTGTGGTCCTTTCGATCAGGAGAAGTATGACGAACTTGTCATGCAGCTGGAAGCGGGAAAGATGATCGCGGCGTGTGGCGGCTTCAACAAGCTTTCCGCTTGGCCGGGGAATGCGTGCGTGGATCTCTTCAACTTTCAAGTGGGGGGTGTGGAGGAGCTGATCAAGCGGTACGGTGAGCTCAGATTCAAGGTGAATCCCAAGAGAAGACGAGCATATGACCGCAACACCGAATGAACACAAGTCTTGGTTGGATAGATGGACTTTGGTAATAGGGTATTAGAGTTTGTGTAGCTTACCTCTTCCCATATGAGATTCATGAGTCCCAAGCACATGTCCCAAGTTTACAATTTGTCCAGAATTGATATGGAGCAAATGCCCCCGTGTCTGCAGCACACAATTCCAAACCCGAATGGGTTTGAAACCGGTTGTTCTCATGTTTTTCCTCACATTTTGCAGATCCCCGTTCTAGACATCTGCAAATACATGAATAATCCATGTCACACAATCTTGGTCGCTCCACCAAGTTTGCTGCTGCTGCTGCGGTGACGATGGTGGCGGAGGAAGAGGAGGAGCCAGGGACTGGGGAAACCTGTTGCTGTGATCTCGTCTGCAATCCAAGCTCCAACACCGGAGCAGTAGGGGGGCTTCCTCGTCCAGCAAAGCATCTCCGGTCACCCAAGAAAGCTCCTGCCCCCTACTGCATCAGATAGGATGGGAGTTGGCCTTGCCGAGAGAGACAGAGCTCATCCAAGCTTGAGTAGTGCAGTGTGGAAGCATGCTTAGCGCCCGTCTGGCCTTTGCATTGCTGAGAGCCCGCAACTTGCCAACCTGAGAAGCGCACTCTGGAGGGTGGAGCAAGAGAGATCTTGACGGTGGTGCCGGGATGAGAGATCCGGCAACGTGGAATGCTCTTGCATGGCGTGAGCCCAGAAAACTTGCAGATCTTCTCGACGAGCAAATGCCTCGAGTGTGTCAACTTGGCAGGCAAAGTAAGCGTTTTAGCAAAGGCGACAATGGGTTTCTCACTGACAAAGAGGGGTTTTTCAAACCAAACTCAACCACGCGGTGACGATCGCATCACCAGCAAACGTTCTACTGGTCTTTGCAGTATCAACATGCCACCGTCCCAGAGATCCAAGGCTTGCCAGAAGTCAAGAAGGCCTAGAGACTTTCCAGAAGACGCTTCATTGGCCACGAAAGTTTCTTCGATTGACTACTTCATTGTGAGTGCTCACTCGCCTTCCCAGGTTTCTTCTCGCAGCTTCTCTCTGGCCAGTGACCGCTGGTTGTGCTCCTCCTTCTCCTGGACCGTGAATCTCCTTGCGTTGAGCAGCTTGGGCGGATGTCGGAGGCTCCAAGTCTATAAGGAGGGAGCTGTGGTGGCTTTGATGCAGGGTTGTCGTGAGCGGCTTTCTCCCGCAAAGCAAACTCTCAAAGCTCCGGTATCCTTCTTCTTCGTCAATGACGCCAAGCAATAAAGCGCACTGGGAAGTAGAAAATCTAGAAACCCGTTTTCGTTGGGGCGTGGATCCTTTTGTGGATTCGTCTTGGAACGGGAAGGCGCCGGCTGGAATTGGATCATCGGTAGCTGCTGCTGCTTGCGATGGCGCTGCTCTTCGTTGATGCGGAACGGCAAGAGCCTCAAGAAAATGATGGTTACAAGGAAGGCGATTCAAACCGCGACGCGTTTGGAATTTTCGGGAGTGGGCCGGATTCGAGTCCGCGACCGGCGGTGACACGTCACCCGTCCACGACCACATCTCTCTCAAATTAGTTTCGCCACGAATCCATTCCATGCCGTTCTCCAAGATAGATAGCTATATTGTAGTGATTTTTGCTCTCGCTCGATCAATCGTGATGTCCCAGGGAACTCTCTCAACGCAGGGGGAACGACTTCAGCTATGAACAGCTAAAGGCATACATTTTCCGGGCAGTGATTCTTTATTCTTCTGTGTGTTTGCATTGAATCTACACAGATTCAATGGCGAGGGAGGACGAGCATTCCTGCTCTCGTACGTTGGGCCCCAGGGCTGCATCCCATACTCCCTCACAAACTCTAAGTGGGCTACGATCAAGCCGGGTGCGCTATCAAGTCATGCAGCACTACAATGAAATGAGATAAAATGTCATTCTGTTTCGCTAGTCTTAATTGTTCAAGCAGGCTTTGAGAGCAACCTCCATAGCCAGCTCCCAGGCAGCACTATAATCTACATCAACACTTACGACATAAAATACTCGCTCACCCTCAAGCAAGAACATAGGCTGTCAACGTGTTTCTGACCATAGTTGACTTTACATGAATCCAGTTTGCCACCGGGATTGGAGGGAACTACAACTACAACTTTGAGGTGCAATGCGGGCAGAGCAAAGTGATGGCGGGGAAGACGGTGGCGTCAACGACTTGTAAGAATCCATCCACCGAAGCAGCAAACCGGATCATCATGAGGCAAATCTTGAGTGGAAGCTTCTTTGAGCCCTGTCTCCCCTTGGGCGTGCTGTGCACACTCAAGAACATATAATCATTTGGATTCATAAACTTTGATGAACATCTAACACTACAACTATTGTTCTTTTGGATCACTGGTTGGAAGGGAATACACAGTGGAATGAGAGAAGGCTGCCTGGTGACACCGAAAGACAAAAGAAAGAAATGCCATCTTCGTGAATGGCTGCCAAAGCTTGTGTACATCCAATCCCGTCAGCTCTGACCTCCAGTCAACCCGTCAGTAAACATAGTCAACATTATTCAACGCGGGTCAATAGCGGCAAGCCAGGGGTCACTCTCGCAAGAAGCTAGCGACTTCGTCCAAGACAAGGACGGATTCCTGGCAGCTATCGTCCCCCACGAGGTAGAATCCATGGGAAGCGTTTTCATAGTCGATGAGCTTCACGGCATTGCCAGCGTCTTCTAAGATCTTTGCAAACTCTACCTGGTGATCGTGGAGGAGATCCTTGCCGCCCACCACCACTAGCGCTCTCGCCAGTCCCCTGGCCCCCAATCTCGCGAGATCTCCAGGTAATTCCAGCGTCATGTTGCAAAATGGATGATCGCGGTCGACCGCTCCCTCGGGGAGCGCCGCCAGCCAGCAAAAATCGGTGATGCGTAGCGTGATCATTGGGTCGGAGGACCCGAGCCTGAGCTCCGACTCGGTCCTGGACGTGCCTCCATAGAAGGGCTGGAGGAGGATCTGGCCGGCGAGCGGGATTCCATCCTGGGCAGCGCGCAATGCCACGCGGGCTGCGAGATTTCCCCCGGCGCTGTCGCCCATAACGAAGATCTTGGAGAAATCCGCGTGAGCGAAAGCGTCTTGATCGCTGCTGCTCTTGGCGATCTCTCGGACCCAGTTGAGGAGCCATCGTCGTAGGCCGCCGGGAGCCTGTGCTCCGGAGCTAGGCGGTAATTCACAGACACCAACGATCGCTCCCAGCTTCCTGGACAGGGCCTCGCAAAATCTGTGAAAGATCGCATTTGCGGCGCTGATGTAGACGAATCCTCCCCCGTGGTAGAAGATGACGATGGGCAGCGTGCGGTTCTCCAGCTCTTCCAGACGGAAAACTCTCACCCACAGCCCCCGATCCTTGTCGAGAATCACGTCGCGGCTCGCCACGCCGTCAATGAACGCGGGATTGGCGGGAACCTCCGCAAAGAACCACGCAGGGCCTGTTGGTGGAGAGCCATCCTCTGCAAACACAAAGCCTCCAATTTGATTGCCAGAGCTCTTGCGCTCCTCGTCGCCCAATTTTTCGGTGCTAGGTGGGTGTCTCACAACGACACATTTAAACCGTTGAAATGCCCACGAGCGTGACTTGTCGGTTTGCGGAAATTCTAAAGCTTTCTTTTTCGTTTCTATGCTGGTATATACACATAATTAAAACAAATCTAATTAAAAGCTCTCTAAGCATGTTTTAGCTTTTCTACTTAAATACTTAATTTAATTAATACTGTGAGGGCCAAGTGTACGGCTACGATGCCGTATACTAATATTAGCGTAGTGGATTTTGGTAGCCGTCGGATTGGTTTCAATCCGGACCACTCGCTCCTGTATATAAGCTAGGGTTTTTGGGTTAATTGATATGTACATTTCTGTATTCCCTTTCCATATTCCATGCACTCACATTGGTGGAGATGAGGGGCACCTTTGATTGTCCCTGGGGAGTGCTTGGATTTGGGATTTCGGTTTAGATCTAGCTTTTGCATTGTCTAGATCTAGCTTTTTCCATTTCCTTTCTTTTGTTCTTTCCTTTCAGGATTTTGGTTTAGATCTAGCTTTTTGCATTGTCTAGATCTACCATTTCTTTCCAGCTTTTTGTCATTTATCTTCTTTTGCTCTTTCTTTCTCATTCATTTTCATGGCCGATCCGCAATCTCCTCCTTTGACTCTAGAGCAGCAGTTGGTTCAATTGCTTGATGCTATGCGCCTGCAATTGAACAACCAAACTCAGTTGATGGCGGCGTTCACGGCACATGGTACAACTCCTCCTGCTTTTGGTGCCAATCCTCGCGTTCGGCCGGAGTTCTTTCGTGGGAATCCTGGGGATGATGTGTACCATTGGTTCGATCACTTCACGGTGATTGCCACATATCATTCTTGGGATGATGCTCGACGTTTGCGTGAGTTCCCCACGTGTCTTCAAGGGACGGCATTGCAGTGGTACAATGGATTGAGCGCAGCTACTCGTGGCGATTGGAGTGTTCTTCCGGACGTCTTCAAACGCGCTGTGAGACACAAAATCCCTAGGCCCCAAAGTGGGGCCGGAAGGGCGCCACATGGTAGTGGCCGAAGCGAGAGCCAAACGAGTGTAACACGTTTGGACCAAAAGCTCCGACTTGAAAAGTCAAGAGCGGGAGTGGAACTCCCAACGAAGTGCTCGAGGAACGAGCACGAAGCGAGCAAAAGGCGAGGCTCCAAAAAGGGACCCAAAAGGACCAACACATGACACGTGGGAGTGTCCGAGATGGAGTCCGAAGTGGAGTCCGAGGTGGACCCGAGATGGACCCGAGTTGGAGTCTGAAGTGGAGTCCGAGATGGAGTCCGAGGTGGACCCGAGATGGACCCGAAATGGAGTCCGAGATGGAGTCCGAGATGGACCCGAGATGGAGTCCGAGATGGACCCGAGCTGGAGTCCGAAGTGGAGTTCGAGATGGACCCGAGATGGAGTCCGAGATGGAGTCCGAGATGGAGTCTGAGGTGGACCCGAGATGGACCCGAAATGGAGTCCGAGATGGAGTCCGAGATGGACCCGAGATGGAGTCCGAGATGGACCCGAGCTGGAGTCCGAAGTGGAGTCCGAGATGGACCCGAGATGGAGTCCGAGATGGAGTCCGAGATGGACCCGAGATGGACCCGAAATGGAGTCCGAGATGGACCCAAGATGGACCCGAGATGGAGTCCGAGATGGAGTCTGAGATGGAGTCCGAGACGGAGTCCGAGATGGAGTCCGAAGTCGAGACCGAGACCAGGACCGAGACCGAGACCGAGATCGGGACCGACACCGAGACCGAGGCCGAGGCCGAGACCGAGCCCAAGCCCGAGTCCGAGTCCGAATCCGAGTCCGAGTCCGAATCCGAGTCCGAGTCCGAGTCCGAGTCCGAGTCCGAGTCCGAGTCCGAGTCCGGAGCCTGAGAGGGTGAAAGCCCAAAGCGTTCGTCTCCCAGACCCTGGGGGGTTTGGTGAGCTCCAAAAGTATAGTAGGGGGAGGACTGCAGTGGAGCCAGTTTGGCCAGGAAAGGCCAGTTTGGCCCAGGAAGGTCGGACCCAGTGTTGGGTGATGAGCTGCCCACTGGGAAGTCCAAGACTAGAGTGAACACGGACCGACAAGCGGGGTAGCTTGGTGAAGTGTTCAAGAGCCGGCTCTAGTTCCCCCGGGAGATCGACTGGCCGATGCTCCCAGTCCAAGTGTGGGTGGCACTACCTACTTGGATACCAGGCGTGGCTCAACGGAACCTCGCTCTAAGCCCATGGCTAGAGCACCTAAGGGCAGAAGGCGAGGAGAGTACCCAGGTGGCTCGCGTAGGGCCACGGTGTTCCGAAATGTTGCCCCAAAGGCCCAGACTGTGGAAAGGAAGAGGAGCAGTCCTCTGGGGTAGTGACCAAGGACACAGTCGTGTGGCGAGGAAGTCCCAGAGGACCGTGGGACATGGGTGGTCGGGCCTGTGGGTCTCGATCCAGTGGCAGTGTTGGCAAACACGGCCAGGGGCAGAAAGGGACTTAGTGGGGACTGACAGAGGGATATTGGGGAAGGCTATTCCCCTTGTTGGTGGGCATCCTAAGGGTGCTAAGGAGTGGATCTCAGATGACCACTCACGGATGGTTTGCCTAGTCTTGGAGAGCCAAGACTGTGATGCAAGTGGTAATGGACTACCAGGGTGGCAAAGGTGATTGGGCATGGCCTTAGCGTAACGGGCCAGTACGTCGGTGATACCTTGGGGTGTCGATCATGGGATCGGACACGTGGAGCACTTGGACCAAGTGCTAAGGTTGAGTGGCATGGATGCCATTCTCGGGGCTAGCAAGCCCCAAGTCCTGAGTTGGACTTATGGAGGTTGTCAATGAGACTCCTCCAAGTGGTCAGAGGTGTGGTTAAGTGACTAAAGTAAAATGGAAAATTTAGTCGCTTACAATTTGGTATCGGAGCTGTTCCTTAGCCCGACTTTTATTGGTGCTCAAGTATATCACCATTAGTGTTGGCATCGGAAGGTCCGAGGAGTGGGCCTATCCTTGAGGAGTAGCAAGTTGGGAAGACATGGCTCTCCATTACAGTTCATGTGTGAACTTGTAGACGAGGTGGTGGATAGAAAAGGGCCAATAATGGAACAACTTTGGGATCTTGGGAACAGTGCAAGGTTTTCCTCATTGAGTTGAGGATGTGATCCGGATGAGCATTTGTCTTAGCAAATTGGCTAAGGTTGTTGTGGTAAACAACTAAAGTTGGGATCACGGGAAAGATAGAGACTCCAAAACAATAAAGGAGTCACAAGATTATCTTCATATAGTTGAGGTTGGTGCTCATGAATGTGAGACCAAAGGTAATAACCGTGGAAGGTCAAATACGGAAGAGGACTCAAGTCCTTGAAATGGTAGCCAGGGCTACCTTTAATAAATGCTGGAACAACCCAAGGAGTTGGGGGGTGTACTTAGAGATGAGTGGTATTCTCATTGCATGGACAAGTAGTCCTAAGGGGCAAAAGTTGCCCCCAGAGAACAAAATCAAGTGTCGGAGTAACACTTGTGAAAATAGTCCTTTTGAGTAGGACAGGAATGCAAGAAGTGTATTCCAGTGAGCTAGTGCCTCACAAGTAGGACCTTATGGGTCTGTGGATTAACCAAGTCCAAAACTGCTGGATGACTCAAGTAGAGTCAAGGGATGGTCCTAAAAGGACTGATGGAAGCATTTGGACTGAGGTGTGTTGTACCCCACAAAGGATGGGGGGGGATCATAGGATCCAAGGATGAGAACAGAGGGTATCTCATTGATGGCAAAATGTGCCATGCTAAAGTTATGGGAAAGGTGTTCCCAGAAGAAAACAACTTTGACATAAAGTTGTGTGTGACCTCTATGGGGCAGTGCTAATGGATGGTTGGCATGAGAAAGAGCGGTGTTGGTCTTGGCAAAGACTTAGACACAAAGGGGAAATGTCATAGAGGTAGGCTCGTGGAGCCGATGGTGTGGAGACACCAAATGTGCCAAGGTGTGATACCTTGAGGCTATGTTGGTGGGTTCATGAGAACCCCTTGCCAAAGGAATCCCAATGGAAATGGGAATGGCATAGCCTAAGCTGCAGAGCATGCAGTTGGAGTGTGGTGACCCAGATAATGATGGAGGTGTGAAAGCACCAAGCAATGAGTTGTAGGACTTGACAACTATGAGGCAACTAAGCAAGAGGTGCAAAATAACTGGTTAAACGGGTAGAAGGTAGCTACCCAAGACTTCTTAATAGCATAAGGAAGTTGGATATACCCTTACAGGGGATAAGTTGCTTGTGTTGCGATATAGTAAGTCAATGTCATAAAAGGAAATACTCATTGTCAAGAAAGCCATCATTGGGACACCCGGACACTCTAGACCACCAGAAGGTGGTGTTTGATGTCGCGAGGGCAATGGATAAAGCCCAAGGGACTAAGTCCCTAGCGAATGATGGATAGAAGGTGCTATCCAAATGTCCAAGGTTGCGGAGACAGGAGAGGACTGTCTACCCAAGTTGGACAAAGCCAAAAATGGAATTTTGGCAAGGCTAGTGATGGGCATGTAAAGGCCCATAAGCAACAATGTAATCCCAGTGTGTGGGATTATAAGGTGAGCATACCTGGATTGAGGAACCACTCCCTAGGCTATTGGGTAGGTTCATCCCTAAGAATACTTGCTAAAGCGTGATAGAAAGTGCAAAGCTATCCTCCTGGTCTGGAGGAGAATGACCAAAGGAAAGGTGTGAAGCCAAAAAGCAAGAAGTAAGGGGATAGAACCGAACCATAGGAATCAAAGGGCATAACCAAGGTTGGTTATGCCAGCTGGGAGTGGAGAATCAAGTGGGGGCTCGAGGGTGTTGCCGCTAGCAACCGTGATGCCATGGAGAGTTTAAAATATGGAATTGTCCATGTTAGACTATGTGGCATTTTGAAGGCTTGCAAAAAGGGAGGCCTTAGCAAGCTGAGGGACAGAGTTCCTTCAAGGTTCCCAAAGACGATTCTAGGTAGCTTAGTACCTAGAAAGGCCAAGTGTAAATGGTTCATGGAACGCGCAAAATCAGAGTGGCGCAGCAGAAGCGTGGTCTTGAAGCTTGCCATAAGGCAAGGCTATCAAGGTTAGGGAAGTAGTTCCCGAGTGTTCAAAGAGAGGGCTTTGAACGAAAGTCGATGGTCAAGGACTTTCACGCTTATGTAGGAACCATGTTACAGTGGTCGGAGGACTTGCCAAGCGAGATTGGCACGTCGGGGGAACAAATACCCTAGTTGAAGGTGATAACTTCAAAAAGAGTGGGCCATGGGGCCGAGCATGGAGGAGTCCATGCATGATCACAGACATGTCAAGTGAGAGGACTTGGCAGTGTGGAGGAACTAGGTTCCCAAGCTGTGATCTGTAGCGCGCTTTAAAAATAAGTTGGTGCACCAGCGTGGGGAGTCATGCCAGGCATCTTGTGTGATGCCGTCCGTAGATGCATATACGGAGGTTGGGTGTGAGTCCCGACCCTCTAGTGCTTGGGTTCGAGTCCCAAATCACTAGGGCGTGGTGATGGTTTGGAATATGAGGACACTCATATTTCGGTGGTCATGGACTCTCAGTGGGGAGACTGGTTTGGGCACACTGCCAAGCGAGGGATGCCTCGGAGTCGTGATGCACGGTTAGATTGCTTAGTGTGAAAGCTCAGCATATCTAACTTGAACACTTTGGTGCAAGTGGCACCAAGGTCGTGGTGAGTGAGATGGGGACACTTAATCTCAGTTGCTATGAACCCTTGGCCGTAAGGGCTAGCTTGGGTGCACCGCCAAGTGTGGGGGATGCCCCCGGGGTTATAGTCAACAACTTGGAGGTCTGGAAGACCAAGTACCTCTTGGCAACTCTGTTAAGGTGCCAAGGTGAGATCACTAGGTGATCTTATGGCCAGATAAGGACAAGGTCCTTGGTTGGCTAAGGAATGAAGTTCCTGGTTCAAAATGTTGAAATTGAACTGTTTAAGATGGTGTGACTTGGTCGTGATGACCAAGTGGGAAGAGCACCTAAGGGAAATAAACTATGTCCGTGCGATGGCATAGTGAGTCCGAGGAAAGTAGTCTCTATAAAAGACCCATGGGAGGGTCACGAAGTTGGGCCATGGATAGAGCCCATAGCAGAATATGCTAAAGAGACATACTAGGGGTGAACATCCTCCGGACTTGGCAAAGAAGAGTCTTTGCTATGGAACTGAAAGGATACCTCAAAAATGGAGGTAGCGATCCGATGTTGCTGGGTGCAACAATCAAGGATAGGAGCAAAGGACTAGTGGCCAAAGTTTGGGCCATGGAATTTAATGGAAGGGATCCAAATGGCAAAGTTAGCCAAGGAACACTAATGTGTTCGATGCTAACAGCTTGTGGGAAAGGAAGCGGACTTTCAAGGACAGATTCCTAAGTGCTCCAATTTGGCGAAGTAAAGGCTCCAAGTGAGGGAGCGGTAAGGTAGCCAAATGATAAGGCCATGGACAGCCTTAGCACAAAGTATGATAAATGGAACTTAGTGCCCAAGGTGGCACGAAATAGAAGAGAGGATGATGGTGCCCTCAAGTAATGAACTTCCTAGGATAGGGAAGTGGAGTTGCACAATCTGTGCAATGCAAGGTGTTGGAGACACCTAGGAAATTGACTTCCAAAAAGTCAAAAGAGTAAAAGTTCCAAGGTGCAAACATTCAATAGATGGAAATTGAGACTACTCGAGAAGGAGTAGTGGGATTGACTTAGAGAAGGGTCTCTAAGAGGTTTAGCGAGAACTAAACCAATAAAAGGGGAGAACCATTACATGTGGTCCAATCAGTCTCTAAGTTGGAGAGACTACGCTCCTTAAAGGATGGACAAGACATGGTGAGCCTTTGATGTCAAACCATAGACAAAGATTGGCTAGGTGCCAAGGATGGAAATGGTAACACGTGTGGGTGTTACTTTATGAAAGGGTTTACCGTTCGATGAGGACATCGAACTTCGTCTATGGGTGGTGGAGTTGTGAGACACAAAATCCCTAGGCCCCAAAGTGGAGCCGGAAGGGCGCCACATAGTAGTGGCCGAAGCGAGAGCCAAACGAGCGTAACACGTTTGGACCAAAAGCTCTGACTTGAAAAGTCAAGAGCGGGAGTGGAACTCCCAACGAAGTGCTCGAGGAACGAGCACGAAGCGAGCAAAAGGCGAGGCTCCAAAAAGGGACCCAAAAGGACCAACACATGACACGTGGGAGTGTCCGAGATGGAGTCCGAAGTGGAGTCCGAGGTGGACCCGAGATGGACCCGAGTTGGAGTCTGAAGTGGAGTCCGAGATGGAGTCCGAGGTGGACCCGAGATGGACCCGAAATGGAGTTCGAGATGGAGTCCGAGATGGACCCGAGATGGAGTCCGAGATGGACCCGAGCTGGAGTCCGAAGTGGAGTCCGAGATGGACCCGAGATGGAGTCCGAAATGGAGTCCGAGATGGAGTCCGAGGTGGACCCGAGATGGACCCGAAATGGAGTCCGAGATGGAGTCCGAGATGGACCCGAGATGGAGTCTGAGATGGACCCGAGCTGGAGTCCGAAGTGGAGTCCGAGATGGACCCGAGATGGAGTCCGAGATGGAGTCCGAGATGGAGTCCGAGGTGGACCCGAGATGGACCCGAAATGGAGTCCGAGATGGACCCAAGATGGACCCGAGATGGAGTCCGAGATGGAGTCTGAGATGGAGTCCGAGATGGAGTCCGAGATGGAGTCCGAAGTCGAGACCGAGACCAGGACCGAGACCGAGACCGAGATCGGGACCGAGACCGAGACCGAGGCCGAGGCCGAGACCGAGCCCGAGCCCGAGTCCGAGTCCGAATCCGAGTCCGAGTCCGAGTCCGAGTCCGAGTCCGAGTCCGAGTCCGAGTCCGGAGCCTGAGAGGGTGAAAGCCCAAAGCTTTCGTCTCCCAGACCCTGGGGGGTTTGGTGAGCTCCAAAAGTATAGTAGGGGGAGGACTGCAGTGGAGCCAGTTTGGCTAGGAAAAGCCAGTTTGGCCCAGGAAGGTCGGACCCAGTGTTGGGTGATGAGCTGCCCACTGGGAAGTCCAAGACTAGAGTGAACACGGACCGACAAGCGGGGTAGCTTGGTGAAGTGTTCAAGAGCCGGCTCTAGTTCCCCCGGGAGATCGACTGGCCGATGCTCCCAGTCCAAGTGTGGGTGGCACTACCTACTTGGATACCAGGCGTGGCTCAACGGAACCTCGCTCTAAGCCCATGGCTAGAGCACCTAAGGGCAGAAGGCGAGGAGAGTACCCAGGTGGCTCGCGTAGGGCCACGGTGTTCCGAAATGTTGCCCCAAAGGCCCAGACTGTGGAAAGGAAGAGGAGCAGTCCTCTGGGGTAGTGACCAAGGACACAGTCGTGTGGTGAGGAAGTCCCAGAGGACCGTGGGACATGGGTGGTCGGGCCTGTGGGTCTCGATCCAGTGGCAGTGTTGGCAAACACGGCCAGGGGCAGAAAGGGACTTAGTGGGGACTGACAGAGGGATATTGGGGAAGGCTATTCCCCTTGTTGGTGGGCATCCTAAGGGTGCTAAGGAGTGGATCTCAGATGACCACTCACGGATGGTTTGCCTAGTCTTGGAGAGCCAAGACTGTGATGCAAGTGGTAATGGACTACCAGGGTGGCAAAGGTGATTGGGCATGGCCTTAGCGTAACGGGCCAGTACGTCGGTGATACCTTGGGGTGTCGATCATGGGATCGGACACGTGGAGCACTTGGACCAAGTGCTAAGGTTGAGTGGCATGGATGCCATTCTCGGGGCTAGCAAGCCCCAAGTCCTGAGTTGGACTTATGGAGGTTGTCAATGAGACTCCTCCAAGTGGTCAGAGGTGTGGTTAAGTGACTAAAGTAAAATGGAAAATTTAGTCGCTTACACGCGCCTTCGGACACGCGTGTAATTCATCATCAAGGGGTTCACTCGGCACCGGTTCATCCAGTGTTTACTTTCCAAGCTCGTTTTTATAACAAGAGGTCTCCTATTCTTCTCTCCGTGTTGGTTGATACAGGTTCGAGTTTATCTTCTATTGCTCGACCTGTTGCCACACGTTGTCGTCTACACTTGTGTCGTGCGGCGGATCCAGTTTTCATTCTTTATGGCAACGGCCGTACACATGCATGTGCACGAGATGAGGCGGACCTGGTTGTGCATGTGGGCGATCTCGAGCTTGAGTTGCAGTCGTTGCAGGTGGTGCCGAGTCAAGCTTTTGACCTCATTCTTGGTATGGATTGGTTGCAGCACAATCATGCCAAGTGTGACTTTGAGGCTTTTCCCCCTTGTCTCATACTTCCTTATGTTTCATCCATTCCTCTCACTTCTGTACCTCTTCGTCCCTCTACTTCTACCTCTGCTTCCATTACTTTTGTTCCCCCATTATTTCCTCTTGTGTTTCCATCTTGTTCTGCTCTTCCCTTTTCCGATCCCTCCGATGATCTTTGTGTTGCAGCTGTTGACCAGCTCATGAAGGAGTATTCTGATCTCTTTGAATTTGACCTATCGTCTGGGGCCAAGATTGCCACACGTCATCCCATTCCAACTGGGGATGCTCGTCCAATCAAGGTTCCTGTTCGTCGTCGGTCACCCAAGGAGATCAAGATTTTACGTGCAAATGTCAAGGAGATGTTGGAGAAGGGTGTTATTCGGAAGTCGCGGAGTCCTTGGGCATGTGAACCTCATCTTGTGACGAAGCCTGATGGGAGTATTCGTTTCTGCATCGACTATCGTCCGTTAAATGAAGTGACGATCCCGGACGTGTACCCTCTTCCTCACACTGCTGATCTCTTGGATCGTCTGGGGCGAAGTCGTTGGTTCACCAAGCTAGATCTTGCTTCTGGGTATTGGCAAGTACCGATGGCTGAAGACGATATTCCTAAGACTGCTTTTCGTACACCATTTGGTTTGTACGAGTTTTTGGTGATGCCGTTTGGTTTGAACAATGCTCCAGCAACTTTTCAGCGAATGATGGACGAGGTTCTTTGCGATATGCCAGAGGTGACGGCTGACTTCATTGATGATGTCTTGATCCACTCGGAGGGGACGTGGGAGGAGCATGTTCGTGATGTTTGTAAAGTGTTGGATCGGCTACGCGACGTTGGTTTAAAGCTGAAGCGGTCGAAGTGCGTGTTTGGGTCCAAGGACACAACTTATCTTGGGTACCGTATTTCTCGTGAGGGTTTGCAAGTTGATCCTGACAAACTTGTGGCTGTTCTAAAGTTCCCTACTCCGAAGTGTGTGAATGATGTGCAGCGTTTTTTGGGTAAGGTGCAGTATCTCGGTCGTTTTGTAGATCATCTTTCCGATCGTACTTTACCATTGCGAGCGTTGCTGAAGTCATCAACGTCATCTTTCATCTGGTCTCCCAATTGTGAGCGGGCGTTCCTAAATCTCAAAGAGCTATTGACGACTCCTCCGGTTTTGGCATATCCTGACTACACTCGACCTTTTATTTTGCGCGTGGATGCTTCTGACATTGGTCTTGGAGGTGTGTTGATGCAAGAGAGCTCGAGTGTGCCTGGTCAGCGCCATCCCATTGCATACATAAGCCGTACATTACAACCAGCGGAGATGAACTACTCCACGACGGAGAAGGAGTGTTTAGCAGCAGTCTGGGGTTTTGAGAAACTTCATGCCTATCTACATGGTTCTCGGACGTTACTTGAAGGTGACCATGCTGCTGTTACTTCATTATTGAAGCGGAAGAACCTGGTTGGTCGTACGGCTCGATGGGCTTTGAAGCTTCAGATATATGATTTTGATGTTGTTCATCGCCCAGGGAGTTCTATGGCTGATGCTGATGCCCTTTCTCGAGCTCCTCTTCCTTCTCCACTCACTTCTCATGTTTCTGACGAACCTGTTGTTCCAGCATCTGTGGATTTTCTAGATGAGGATTCTGTGCCGTCGGCGGTTGCTGTCCTTGACGTTCAGTGTCCACAGGGCGTAGAGCAAGATCTACCTTCTCTGGATGAGGTTCGCGAGGCTCAAAAGATTGAGCCGTGGATTCGAAGGCTTCGAGATGGGTTTGAGAATCCTGCATCACTTGTTGATGACTTGCCTTTTCGGCATTTACATTCTCAATATCGTCTTGAAGATGGCCTTCTTTATTTTGTGGGGACGGATCCTGATGCTCATTTACGGCTGGTGGTGCCTTCGGTGTTTATTCCGCGGTTTCTCCATGCCTACCATGATTCTCCTATTCTAGGTGGGCATATGGGACACCGTCGTGTCACCGAGAAGTTGCGCAAATCTTTCTATTGGCCAGAGATGCGACGTGATATTATCCGGTATGTGCGTAGCTGCGTTTGGTGCCAAGCTCGTAATACTCCCCCTTGTGCTGCGGAAGGACGGTTGGAGTCAATTGCAGTTTCTCGTCCGTTTGAGTTGGTGGCGTTTGATCTTATGGGACCTTTTCCGCGATCGACTGTTGGCAATGAGTATGTTATTATTGCTTCTGACTACTTGACTCGTTGGGTGGAAGTTGGTGCTCTTGCTAGTGCCTCTGCAACTGCTGTTGGATACTTCCTCCTCAATCGAGTGGTGTTCCAGCATTCTTGTCCAGAACGGATTCTTTCGGATAATGGTCCTGCATTTATGGCTGAGGTATTTCATGTTTTGACATCTCGGTTGGGGATACGCCACACTTTTATGAGTGCTTATCATCCACAATCAGACGGTCTGGTGGAACGGCTCGTTCGGACATTCAAAGGGATGATTGCGAAGTATGTGAACTTTCAACATTCGGATTGGGATGGTTATTTGCCATCTCTTCGGTATGCTTATGTCACAGGGGTGCAGAGTTCTGTTGGTGCTTCACCATATAAACTTCTATATGGTCATGATCCAATATTACCAACAGAGCTAGGTTTACCTTCGCGATTGCCACGAGCTCCTGATGCTAGGTCATGGGATCAATATTTGACAAGCATTCTTCCACTTGTCCGAGCAGAGTCTGCTGAACACTTAGGCCGCGTACAAGTGGGACAACAACGGCGCTACAATTCCCATCATCGTCCACTAGCGGAGTACAAAGTGGATGATTTGGTGTTAGTCCGTTTTCCCCATCTTACAGTACGTGGTTTATCTAAGGGGCTCCTTGCGCAGTGGAAAGGACCGTATCGAGTGTTGCGGCAAGTTGGACCACAAGTTTATGAGGTTCAGCATGACGTTCAGCAGGCTGATCCTCCGGAGATTGTGCATGTGCAGCGGTTAAAACGCTTCATACAGAGGGATCAGGAGCAGTTAATACCGTCTACAGATCCACCGATGCCTCCTCCTGACGTTCCTCCAGATCCCGGCCCATCTACAAGAGAACCCTGACTGCCTTCCATTATTCCGAGAGGAGGGGATGATGTGAGGGCCAAGTGTACGGCTACGATGCCGTATACTAATATTAGCGTAGTGGATTTTGGTAGCCGTCGGATTGGTTTCAATCCGGACCACTCACTCCTGTATATAAGCTAGGGTTTTTGGGTTAATTGATATGCACATTTCTGTATTCCCTTTCCATATTCCATGCACTCACAATACTACATACTTAAAAAGCTCTGGAGAATCTGCGATTTTGGGTGGTTACAGGCAGTGGCAGTATGCGGGCTTCTACGGCGTTGTTAGAGCACAGGATCCAGCGGGTGTGGCGCAATGCATGCAAGCAGGCTAGTGTGAGCGAATCCACCGTTGCCAAGGCCGTCATCCGCGAGAGGCCCTCGTACCTGAGCAACGACTTGTGCTACGAAGGTATTTGGAGCGACGACCTCACGTACACCAACGTTTGCCTTTGCGTCGACAGCTACAAGAGGAGGCCGACATCGATAGAGGCAGTCCAGGAAGAGCTCCACCAGCAGCAGCAGCAGCGGCAGGAGATGCCGTTGCTTAGCCATTGAAGCCACCACACGCCACGATCATCTTTCCCGCTTCCAGATGCTCGACAAGTTCGTCATACTTCTCCTGATCAAAAGGACCACACTTTTCGTCGAAAACAACATCCGGCGTGCTCAGGTTCTTGTCCACCAGCGGCTCATACTCGCAGCACCTGAAACCGAACAACTCCTCCCACTCGTGCGCCAGCACCCGCGCATCAAACACCAGCCGCGCCTGCATGTCCAGCGACCCAACACCACCGAACAGGTCCCGCTCCACCCAAAAAACCAGCTCTTGGCAAAACTTTCGCGATCCCGGGCCACGCCCTCGGATCTCACGGTGTATGCTGAAGCTTTCCGCTTCGCCGGGGAATGCATGCGTGGATCTCTTCAACTTTCAAGTGGGGGGTGTGGAGGAGCTGATCAAGCGGTATGGTGAGCTCAGATTCAAGGTGAATCCCAAGAGAAGACGAGCATATGACCGCAACACCGAATGAACACAAGTCTTGGTTGGATAGATGGACTTTGGTAATAGAGTTTGTGTAGCTTACCTCTTCCTATATGAGATTCATGAGTGATCTTGGACGAAAATTTACAACACACACACACACACACACACGGGGAGCTAGCGCGGTAATGGAGCCGAGGCTACCACAACCGGGGTGGCCCTCAGGCTTCTTTTCTTGCGAAAAAGAGCCTTCTGCGTCAATTTTTCTGGAGTGAGATGGCCTTTGCTCGGCTCTGTCGACGTAGAGATGTCCATATGATCTTTTCCGGCATGCTGCCAACCACTGAGTTTTCATCAGCTTCGATAACCGGCCATCAACCATTGCATAGAGATGATCCTTCTCGTGCTGGACGCTGTGATCAACGACTGAGGTCTTGTCCAGGCAACCGCCGACAATGTCGTTTGGCCTGCTACCGTCCAAGAGCATGCACTCAAAATGGCCCAGGCTCCAAGCATCGAGTTCCAGTAAACCTCTGGGATGCTGTCAAACACAAGGTCAACGATCATCGTGTTCCAAGCAAGCAGGCTCACAGCAAGAGCTTGCC